CAGGAATTTAGAGAAAGATTCCAACTTCTGGAGCTGTGCTCAAGCTAAAGCTATCCCTGATTCAGTCATACCAATCAGTAAGGTCCTGTTTTTGCTTAAAATGACTTGAATTGAATTTTCTATCACTTGCATCAAGAAGAAGCCTAACTGTGGGATGACCAAGTGGAAATGCTAGGTTAAATAGATAAGCTGGGAATTCTAGAGAGATCTGAGTTGGGAGTACAGAATTGTAAATCAGCAGTGCACAATCAAAGACATGAGTTTGGCGGTTACCCAGGGAAAGTAAGAGAGAAGAATTCATCAAAGTATGTTCTGCAGATCACCTGCATCAAAATCATTTGGAGGGAATGTTAAAAAGATAGATTAGGTAGAAAAGGAAATGTATGTAATTTACTCCTGAAAAATTAGTTAAACAAACAAAACAGAAAAAAAAAAAGAAGAAAAGGAAGCCAGGCATGGTGGTGCACATGTGTAATTCCAGCACTTGGGAGGTGAAGCAGGAAGTGAGAGTTTGAAGCCAGCTGGGCTACAACAGCCTGTCTCAAAAGACCAAAAACAACTAACCAACCAAACCAAACAAACATTAGTCAAGTGATGGGAATGAAGAAGACAGGGTTTGGGGGATCACGAAAGGTATCCATATAACTGGTATGAGTTCCCGTGGTAACAGTGTTCCCATTAGCAGAGTTGTCCTCTCAGTGAGTGTATTCTTGCTTTGCTGATCATGGTGGGTGAATACTGATTCCCCCACCCCAATTATTCCCAGAGCCTCATATTCACCCTGTTGTGTAATCTCTACCCCCTGAGGTGAGTGGGAGCCAGGACTTGGCTTCTAACCAATAGAATACAGCAAAGATGAAGGTACATCACTTCCAATGCCTTGGTTATTAGGACTGTGCCTTTCATCTTGCTTGCAGAAGGGTTGGAGGTATGGCTTCATGGCAGAGCACTTGTCTAGTGTGTGGGAGGCCCTGAGCTTAATCCCTAGCACCAAAAAAACCCCCCAAGACAAAACAAAAAAACCAAAAAACTAAACAAAAGCAAACCACATCTCGTAAGCAGGTTCTCTTATTACCTAATAGGCTTGCATGTATTAGTGACGCAAAACTGGAGGCAGACATGGCGAGGAACTGAGGTGGCCTCTGACCATCAGCCAAGTAAAAGCTGACGTCCCCAGTTCACTTGGCCTTAAGGAACTTAGTCCTGCCAACAACCATGAGAGGCTAGGAGAGATTCTTCTAGTGAAGTCATGGAGACATCAGTCCTGGATGCCCCCTTGACCATGCATTCTAAGAGATCCTGAAGCAGAGAACCAGTTAAGCTTTGTCCAGACTCTCAACTCACAGTAGTAAAACTGAATTAAGTCATTAAGTTTGTGGAAATTAATTACCCAGCAATCAATAATCAGAACATAGTTGTGATTCTTAAAATACATTCTGGTCAATTTCCTAGCAATCCATGTAAGAGTTATTTCAAACTTTTTTTTGAACCTAGGGCCTTGGGCATGTGAGGCAAGCACTTTATCACTGAACTATTTACTCCATCTAGTGTCCTTCCTTTAAAAAAAAACCTTCACAAGTTCATCCTCTTTCTAAAAGCATTAATTCTCTGGTCTTTTAATCGAGAAATAAAACAAAAAACTCCTCAAGTTCCTGCCTTGGATATTTCCTTTTGATCACAATCATTGTCTTTTTGAATATGTCTATGCCAAAAGCTTCCATTTCCTTTATCAGCACCCTGTCCTAAACGCTGGCACTCACTGCTTGCCCTCACTATTCTAGTGAAACTTTTCCCACACTAGAACTGGCCCATGCCTTTATCTTCTTGGCCACTCAATCTTTCAATGAATAATTGAGTCTATGGTGTCCCAGACACTGTGCCAGGGCAAGGTTAGGATATAACAGTTAACAAGGCAGACACTCTTTGCCCCTTTGGACAATCAGTGTAAATGCCAAGAAGAGGGATGCCTAGGGCCCGATCAAATGAGTTTAGCAAAGTTTCCTGAAGAAGAGATCATCTAGGCTGGGGCATGAAGGGTTGGTGAGTGGTGTGGTTAAGGGTGGGGAAAGTGCTCCAAGCAGAAGGCTCAGACCATTAAGTGAGAAAAGCCCCAGTGCATGGAGGGAATAGAGTGACTGGAATTTGGAGAGTGCCGGTGGGAGAGGTAGGAAAGGGGAGGGACCGTAAGAGGAGGCGGTGAGCCAAGGCAGAATTGGGGGGTGGAAGTGGATTATGCCTGGCCTTACATGCCCAAGAACACAGGAGTCCACCAAAGGACTTGAAGCTGTACAGCATCCAGGTGAGAGGCTTCAGGAAGGAAAAAGGCTGGAGAGGGACAAAGCCAAAGGGCAGCAGTTATGAAAACTGCAGAATTCAGATGAGAGTGGTGGCCTGGGGATGGGTTGAAGAGATATTTGGGTGGAAAATTGAATTGGCTTGGGGATTTGATTGGAATGAGGCATGAGGGAAAGGAGGAGTCAAAGCTGGCTTCCATCTTCCTGGGCAGGACAACAAGGTAGACAGAGGTACCATTTCCTGATGGGGAACAATGGAGAGGGCAGGCTGTGAGGGAGGAGGATGGTGAGTTCAGTCTGGGATACGATGAACTTGAGAATGCAAGCTTTTTGAGGACAAGACTTTTCTCTGCCTTTTTCATTTCCTTACGCCTGATACACAGAACAGTGTCTTACTGTGATAACTATTGGTTCAATACATAAATACATGAAAAATAAAAGATAGTATCATTTTATGTGGAGAAGTCCAAGAGGCAGCTTTGAGGCTTAGGAGGTAGAACCACGTAAGATCAGTATGAGTGGTCACTGGTGACCGGTACATGGAAATACAGGAGTAGGTGAGATCCCCAGGACAGCAAGAACAAGAGGTCAAGAGCTCAAGGAGCATCAGCACTTAAAGGATGCTCATTATTTTGGTGTGGTTCACCAGTCCTACCTTTGTAATCATGCTGTCTTCTTCAGCTCTCTCAACTCTGCTGCTGTGTCTCCTACCTTTTCAACTCGGAGTCTTTTTGTTGCCCTGTCCCCTAAATGTGAGCATGCTCCAGACCCTCCTCTCTTTGCTCCTCAAGCTGGTGTTCTCTCCAGATTCAGGTTGCAAATGCCCAGTGTCACCTCCAACACAACAACACCCTCACGAAACTCACCTCCTCCCAGGCCAGCCCCTCCTCCTGGCAACTCTACCTCTCATTTTGCTTTTAGGAAGCACTCCAGCTGGGGGAGTGGCTTATGCTAGAGTGCCTGCCTAGCAAGCATGAGGCCCTGAGTTCAAACACCAGTACCACTAAAAAAAAAAAAAAAAAGTTGTAAGAAGCACTCTGCAGGGTTTGTTATATGAATATTGAGCTAGAAGCTTGGTACCAATTGGATCTTACTTCCTTTTTATTTTTATTTTTTGGTGGTATTGGGGTTTGAACTCAAGGTCTCATGCTTGCCAGGCAGGTGCTCTACCGCTTGAGACACTCCACCATTTTTGTGTTGGGTATTTTGGAGATAGGATCTCATGAACTGTTTGCCTGGGCTGGTATCTAACCTCAATCCTCCTGATCTTTGCCTCCTAAGTAGCTAGGATTATAGGTGTGAGCTGCTAGTGCCCAGCTGGATCTTACTTCTTATTGAAACTTGAGGGCACCAAACAACTAAAGATTTCTCAGTTAGTTCTTTTGAGTCCTGCTGTCTTAAAGCCAGGACAATAATTTCTTGGCAGAAAAGCAATTAGAACAGTTATAACCTTAGGGTGCTTGATACTTTCCTATCTCTTTCCCTGGCACAGTGTTCTTTGGGATAATGACATTTTTTTTTTCGTACAGAGTATACCTGCCAAGGGAATAAGACTTTTATAGGCTACAGACATTCATATACTGCTAATGAATTAAGGAATTCATCCAAGAGGAAGTCACAATTCTACTTGAAAAATATGGGACTTGCTAGCCTGAGGCACTGGCCTTCATTTTGGAACATCAGAGCCAAAACCACCTCGGAAACCATCTCATTTATTCTACTTAATTTATGCAGGAATAAGCCCTGATCCAGACAGAATTTTGTTAATTAGTTAAAACATGGATAGATGAATAAGGAAATCACTGGTTTTCTGGAAACATACCACTTAGGGATGATGGCACACTACTACTACTTCCTTCTTTCTGGTGGCATGGGGGTTCGAACTGCGGCCTAATCTGCTTGCTAGGCAGGCACTCTACCATTTGAGCCACACTCGCAGCCCTGATGGTACACTACTAAACCTGCTTTTACTCTTTTCTTCCAAACTAATCTATTAGAACCCTGGATCAGTCTTTTCACCTTCTCTCCTCTTCTCTTTTCACCTTCCCTGCTGCTTTATCATGGGGTTTAGAAAGCCCATGGTGTTGACACCAGCTTAAGCCAAACATAAGTAAGGAAACCCACGGGCAAACATGAAGGCCTTGGCAATTCCTGCGTCCTTTCTATTCCTCAACCTGCTCAGTTCCTTCTCATCTGAGAACCTTTGCTCTGCTGCTCCTTCTCTTGAAATCTCCTCTCCTTCTGGAAACGTTTGCTCCTTTTGTCCTTGTCATCTCAGCGTAAATTGTCTCCTCAGCATCATGGTACCCTTCCCCAGTCTCATGAATGTAATCTTCCTTCTTGGGATCCCCCATACCGATAGTCCTTTGTTTGTTATTCCTCGTTTTCTTCCCCTCTAGAGAGTAAAGCTCAGTGAAGGTGGGTCCTTGTTTATCTTTCTGTGTCCTTAGGGCCCATAGCTGGATCTGAGGCAGGGCTGGATAGACATTTAATGAGTGAATGATGACAAAAAAACGACATATCTCTAGAAGTCTGAGTAATCTGGAAATGATTTCAGTTGTCTCATCAGTCATGATTTTGTGTACATCCAAGAGGTATCTTTACTGTTTACTAGGCTGTTTCTGCTAATGGCTTCCACTGATTTAATTTACATTACTCCTACACTCCACCCTCCCTTGCACAAATTGACCAACTCTCCAGTGTGTATTTTTAAAAAAGATAATGTTTTATTACTACCAGCAGGAGTGGGCTGTTTGGTGTGGTGGGTGTGCTGGGCTCCAGGTAGGTATGGACTAGGAGGAGAAGGTGACAACTTGGCAGCTGGAAGGGAAAGGGGAAAGTTTGAGGCCACAGGGGCTCACATACACTTCTGGGAACTGAGGAAGGAGTTATGGCAAGCCTGGGCTAAGCCACCAATAAGATTAAGAAATTCTTGGAAATCTAGCTTCCCATCATTGTTGAAGTCCAGCTTCTTCATCATGCGATCAAGGACACCAGGGTCCTTCTGGTTCTGCAAAGATAATAATAAAATCTTCTAAGATGCTTTCAAGTATGTTGTTACACTTTATTCTCACTAGCGCATAAGATAAAGGGTTTATTCCCGTTTTCCACACACAGAAAGAGTCACATTTCATGTACCTCTCTCCATACATGGAAAAAACAAATCACCTTTCCCTGTGTCATGAAGTTTTTACACTTTGCTCTTTAAAACATATCTAACTTCAAAACAAAAAGCTCTTTAATAGTCATGCAGAGGAAGTAAGAAGGAGGCAAGTGTGGGGATTCAGCTACTGTTCCATCATTCCTGGCCATTCTGTCAGCAACTTCTTTCCTACTGTGGGCAGCCTGGGGTTGGGGTGGGGGGCTGGGACAGTACCTTTGTGAAGGCAGCCAGTTCTGTATTCATGAAGATTAGGAACTCTGCCTTGGATAGAGTTGAGTTGTTTCCATCCTTTCCAGCATACTTCTGGAATACAGCAATCAGGGACTCAATGCACTTCTCAGTCTCTGTAGGGTGGGACATTTTTGCCTTTGGAGAAAAAAAAAATGCAGGGCTCAGACAAGAGCAAGATGTCAAGGACTGGATGTTGGAGAACATGCCAGAGAATCTCATCTCATTTTAGGTCAAATAACTGGGTCATTTTTTTCAGGAGGCTGGGGGAGGTGGGGTGAGGGGTGTCTAAGACAACCACAGAAAGTCACATTCTGTGAGTGTCCTCATTTCTCCAACAGGTTTATTCCAAGTGATATAAAGTGAATGTACATATGGAATACTGAAGATATGCTTGAAAGGAATAGACTGCCTAGGGGAAGTGAAGGTTTAATGATATTTTTAGAAGATGTGAGTAAGTATATGAAAAACTATCCACAAATCCATATGCACACCAAGCATTGGCTAGAGATTAACTAGTGCCCTATTTTTCAACAATGTGTATATTATTCATTCATGATGAATAGCATGTTAGTTCTTCTAAAAGTAATACTAAACTTCTGAGATTCATGCATTTTCTTGAAGAAAACTAGAAGCACAGCTGTAGTTGTGTGTGGGGTGGGAGATGAGAATGCCTTAGATGTTCAAAAGTGGATTTCAGCCAGGCATGGCCACTCATGCCTGTGATCCCAGCACTTCAGGAGGCGGAGGCAAGAGGATCTCTAGTTCTAAACCAGCCTGGGATACATAGCACGACCCTGTCTGGAAATAAAGTAAAAAAAAAAAAAAAAAAAAAGTGGATTTCATATTTGCAAGTTAGGAACCATTAATTTTACATGTTCAGAAACTGAGGCATGAGAAGGGTTCCAGCGTGGCAGAGCCACCCCTAGAATCTGGGCCTTCAGGTCCCTTTCTCAACCATGATCTTAGCTCCTTCCACTTCCCACTAATGCCTGCAGGAATGGTGGGTGGAAGTTCTCATTACAGAGCTGAACCACAGCTGTGGTTGCATCAGGAAGAGCAGAGGGCTCAAATGCTGTGCTGCACTCTGCTTTGCTCACAGCAGAATTCCTTAAGGAAATTCTACTGGGCTGAGTTGGCCATCATTCCAGCTCTGGAAGTGAGGAGCTGTTGGCTCCCTCTGGTGGATAAAAGTAGAAACTGCAGGCTTTCTGGGAACCTGCGGGGCCACACCCTTCCTCTGAGGCTTTCTCGCTTGGCTTTAACCATGAGTTATGTTTGGATAGTGACCTTTGCAACCTACCACTTAGCCTTTAATTTCTCCTTAGAATGGACTTCCTGGGTCCTAGAGCTATAAGTTTTCAGGCTCTGTAATTAACATATGCTAAGAATTGGCCTGAGCCCTTAGCTGCTGGTCTTTCCTTCTCTGACCTTTTCCCTCTCTGTGTTCCTAGATACTTCATCAACCTAGTTGAACTGCTGCTGCCCGTTGCCTCTTGGAGCATTTAGAACCCCTGAAACTTCTGAAGGTGGATCCTTTTCCAACAGTCACAATGTTGAAGAATTTTACTTAAGAAAACAAAAATGTTGGTAGAGTAAGGGCTTGGAGGGAAAACACCACAGCCTAGAAACAGGTATGTTTGCAACAACACGCACTTATCAGAACTAAAATCTTAAATAATGTGTCAGATGACAGGAAGAAAGTTGGCTGGGAGGGTACATCAGATTGGGAAGAAGATTTAAGGTTGAGGAGTAATCTTTTTCTACAGATGCCATCAGCCACAAGAAGAAAATTAAAACCTCTCTGCCCCAGGAAATTAAAATTTCCTGCCCTAGAAGTAATTCTCCAAAGCAAAAGAAACACATTTATCAAATTACAGAAATTGAATTGTATAATTTACCAAGCTTAAGAGAACTTTGTGGGGTGGCTCCTGAGGAAGCCCAGAGTTGGGAAGGCTTTGTTCGTGGAGCAGCGGTGGAAGGAGAAGAGAACCAGCTCTCCACATCTCATTGTACCCTTGGAATTTTACTTGGTGGGATGATGATAGCAAGAATAAACAGTATGATGAACTGATATTGCGAAAGAATTTTTTAAAATGCATACCAAGCACTTAATATTTGAAAAAGAAGTTAAAAAAAACCTCAACTCTTACAGTTCTCTCTCTCTGTCTTTTGGCGGTACTGGGGTTTGAATTCAGAGCCTTGTCCTTGTACTTGAGCCATGCCTCCATCCCTTTTTGCTTTAGTTTATATTTCAGCAATGGTCTCCCACTTTTGTCTGAGGTCAGCCTGGGACCCTGATTCTCCTACCTCCACACCCTGAGCAGCTGGAATTACAGATGTGTACCACCATACCCAGCACATCCTACCCCCTTATCCTCCAGGGATTCATGGTTTCATCCGCCTGCCTCAGGACAATCATTCCACTTCATGCTGGTGCTGGGCCTGCCTTTTCAAGGAAGCATGTGACGCTAATTCCCTTTTTGCATGAAGAGAAGAGGAAAAAAGTAGGAGGGAACATACGTGACACACTAAAGCAGGGGTGGACAAGTTTGTGTGTGTGTGTGTGCTAAAGGACAGCTGTAAATATTTTAGACCTTTGCTGTCCATATGGTCTCTGTCAATCTGCTGTTGAAACTAGGCAGCAAGAGCAGACAATACATAAACCAATGGGCGTGACCGTGCCTATAAAACTTTATTTATGATCGTTGAAGTTTGATTTTCATGAAATTTTCTCTTTTCACAAAGCATCATTCTTCTTTTGGTTGTCTTTCAGTCATTTAAAAATGTAAAAAAATCCGATCTTTGCTGTGATTGGCCCACCCGCCAAAGTGTACTTATCCCCTTCACTGAAGAGAGAGGAGGTAGACCTTGGGGTGGCGTGGAAAAGACAAAAAAGTCAACGTGGGGAATGGAAGGGGTTGAGAAAATAACAGGTGATGGAGTGAGTGCCTAAAAAGATGGTGGTATAAAAGGAAGAGGAAGGACGGAGGGGGCTGGGCTGCGAGTGCGCTCCTCCCACATTTTTGCTTGCGGTTCCGCTGGCTGCAACAGGCTTTGGTTTCAGGCTCTGTGTCTTTTGGCCATTTGCCAGTTGCTTACGGAAACTGATTTCTCCCTGGACTCAGTCGACTAAGTTTGAAATGTTCCCTTTCTGGCCTACAGAAATACTTACTGACGCCCCCCAGAACTTCAAGCCCTGTCTTTAATGTTTCTCCTCCTCTTGGGGCAGGTCAGAGGCGAACCCCGCATTCGCTCCACTCGGGCAGAAGACGCGCGGGGCGCGGCGCGGAGTCCAGGCGGCTCCATCCTGCGGGGAGGCTCGGGCCAGGGGCGCGGCCAGTGGTCAAGGGCGGCCTCGCGCGGTTCCCCTTCCTCATCTCTAACCTTACCTTGATTAAAAAAACCTAAAGCTCCACTTGCCACCCCTAGGCGGTTATTACAGCTGTAATTTTAGGGTTCTTCCTTCCATCCTCTTGTTTAATTGCCTCTCATAAGATTTATTTCTCCTGATCTGATTTTTTGCCACGTCCGCATCTAAATCAAAGATAAAGCCTGGTGCAAAGTATGCTGTTGCTTTCCCCATTCTTTTCAGTAAGAGAGAAAAAAAAATGTTTTTGAAGTTAGGCTTACCAAGTTGGAGTCGAGCGAGGCCAGGGAGGCTGCGTCTGCGTCTGCGTCTGCGGCTGGGAGTGGCGCGGACTGTTGTGCGCGCGGCTGCGGGGTCCGTCCTGTCCCCGCGCCCCGCCCGCCCCGCTTGCTCAAGCCTGACTCAGACTGTCCCCTCCCCGCCCCGCCTGCAGGCCTCGGCTTGTCCAACCGCCGCCTCCTTTGCTAAGCACACAGCTTTGCCTTAAAACTCACGTACGCCCATTGTCCTCTCCAGAGACTTAACCGATCTCTCACTCTTTCCTTGTTCCGGGTGACCCTTGAAGATTGTTGACTTTTCAGAATTAAAAGTTTTGCATAGCGATCTTAGGGAAGTCTGTCCACGTTCGTGTATAAGCTCACTACATACATTCAGGTTAGATAAGCAGAAAGGTCCCTTAAAAGCAACAGTGTTAAGACTGAGTGTGGGTCATAATTGTCAAGACGTTCCCTAGGACTTAGGGCTATTTGGCCACACTGAAGATATTTAACAAATGATGATTGTTGCCAAGTGGATCTTCAAAGGGTTGTTGGTAATTATTGCCAAAGTATTATTGGCTCCCTCCCTTCTCTCAAACTTTAAACTGACAGCAGCTCAGAAGACAAAGCAAAGCAAAACAAAAACAACCAAATCCAACTTGATTCGTGCATTTGCCCGCGTGAAGTTTCAGTAGAGTTGGAGGTTGTAGTAAGAATCAGAATCTCGGGGTTCTAATTCTTGGTCTATAACTTCATTGCAATACTTTTGACAAGACTCCCCCCCCCCCGGCCCCGCCCCCCCCACCTCCCTGAGCTCCCTTTTCCTTATCTGTAGACAGGTTATGTTGCCTTTCCTATTTCACAAAACTTGTTATGAGTGTCACATAAAATGATCACTTTGAGGGGGCTTCAAAAACTTGCAGAATAGTTGAGAATGAAAGACAATGGCTGCTGGGCATTGCTTGAATTGCTCCCTGGTACCTACTCTCACAGCTAAGGTTGACCAGTCCTTGAGCATGCATAAGGCCAAATCTGCACCTCTACTTTCAGCTACACCACACCCACGATTTCTGAACCCACTTGATAACCCCACCAGTGTTTTAGACTCAATAATTCACAAAATAGTTAAACCTGTTTTTCTCCCAGCTTCTCTGTTTCTGCCAATCGTGTGGCCACTCTTCTGTTTTCTTTACTTGAGAATGGAAGAGCCATGTTTTTGACTCTAAATGTCGTTCTTATCCACACTTCTAATCAAGTGATATCAGTTTTATTTGTACTCTCTCTGGGATCCATACCTCATTATTCTATTCCCACTTCTACTGCTCTAGCTTAGACTTTCATTCCCTTTTTCCTCCAATTTCCTCACTAGACCCTTGCCCTCCAGTCTGTTCTACTGAGTGCTGAAAACACATTTTCCAAATGTACGACTCTGACCAATTGCCTCCTTCCAAACAAAACATGGCTTCCTGATGCCTTTATGTCAAATCCAAACTTCTTAGTCTCTATGTGGCTCTTAATGACTTCTTTAGCTAACTAATTAACTGATGAATTGAAATTTCAATTTATTCATTCATTCAACAAGTATTTTGAGAACCTACTATGTGCCAAGAGTAGTGCTGGGCACAACAGATAAGAAGACAAGTGTGATATAGTGCCTGCTTTTAAGGAGGTCTTTGGGTGGGCTTTAGACCTATGTGGTGGTAGTGGGCATTCCACAAATGGCTGATAGGACTCTTTAGTACCCTAAAGTTATATGTGAAATTTTCTGTAGAAAAGATTCTTTTTTTTTTTTTTTTTTTTGGTGATATGGGGTTTGACCTCAGGGTCTAGTACTCTACCACTTGAGCCACTCCTCCAGTGAGAGGTTTTTTTTTTTTATCATCATATAATAGTTGTATAGGAAGGATACACTGTGACATTTACATATGTGCCTGCAATATATCTTAATTAGACTCACCCCCTCCATCATGCTCCCTCAGTCCCCCTCTTCCCCTTCCTAGAATAATTTCAACAGGTTTCATTGTTCCATCCACCATATTGGCTCTCCATCACCCTCACTTTTACCCTCCCCCCTTTCACTGGTCCCACTCCTGGACAGAACCTGTTTTACCTTCTTGTCTTTCATTTTTTAAGTGTATATTGATTGTTCAAGGAGGTTTTGCCTTGGTATTTCATACATGTATATATCGTACTTTAATCAGATTACTTACTCTTTTTCCTCTATTGCCCTGTTTCCCTATTATTCAAGAGCTTACAGTGCATTATGCTATACAATCTTCATACATGGATGCATTATATTTCAATATTATTTACTCTATAATAAGAGAATTTTTTTCTGGGAAAGGATCATCGCTTTCATTTGATTCTCAGAAAAATCTATTAAAGAATTATTCAATTTAAGAACATTGAAGAATCATTACTCTACACATCAGTCATGAAATCTTCCACATCATAGTCCTTTTTAAGTGAGGCCACTTGTAGCCTCTGCTGAAGTGTAGCCTTCAGCACTGGTGGCCAAGTTTTGCATGATTTAACCTTGTGCCCATTGGCATAGCTGATTGAATTCAGGTTAGTTCTGGACTCACTGACTGACAATCCATAAGATGTCCAAGTAGCACACGTTTCATGACTTGACATGGGGTCAATTGGTTTCTTGTGTTGGGGAAGATAAAATTAGAAACATATAGAAAATAGGGTATTTAAAAAGTTGAAGCTGAGTATTTGTATAGAGAGAACCATGATTTGTTTCAGAACAAATTAAAATATAAAGAAGACATATTAGAAGTATATTATACTATATTATATATAATATATATATTATACTATATTTCATATAATATAGGCAGTAAATGGAAATTATGAGATTTGGAAGAAATACATGGCATAGAAGAGGAAATAAGCCAATTGTTAACTGCAAATAAAAGAAGCTCCTTACCTATCAGCTGAGTTATGTAAATGGTGGAGCAATGAGAGCAAAGAGCCCACAGTTCAACTTTATTAGTGTTTTTTTCTCTTCCTGAACTAGACTGTTAATTTTCCTGATTTTCTATGTGATATTTAGTATTTTTTTGGGGGGACGGGTTGTACTGGGGTTTAAACTCAGGGCTTTGCACTTGCAAAGCAGGCGTTCTACCACTTGAGCCATACCTCCAGTACATTTTGCTCTGGTTATTTTGGAGATGGGTGTCTCATGAACTATTTGCTTGGTCTGGCCTTGAACTGTAATCCTCTTGATCTCAGCTTCCCAAGTAGCTAGGATTACAAGGGTGAGCCTGTCTTACAGTAACTCTTTATCCATGAGGTAGCTTGAATGAAACTACAGAAAAGAAAGAAAGTAACTAAGCATGAGTTATTCAGGATCTTGTAGGGGTTTAGTTCTACTCAGTTTGGGCTGTCTTGGCCACTCTCCAGGGTAAAGCTGAAGGAGTTTGTTATTGCATTATCTGTTAAAGGAGGGAGAGTTCAGAAAAGGGGAGGCAAAGGGAGATTTAGCTAAATTGGTAAACAATGAGTCAAATTGAAGGGCTAAGGCAGACAAGATATCAAGGATGAGTGAGACCTAGAAAATTGATCATCAAGAGAAAAATGAAGTATAGATGAATGAAAGGACTGTTCAGGAAATGAATATAGGAATTTCCATAGTTCAGAGTAATTCTTATGCGCAACCTGATCTCTGTGTAGATTGGGTAGATTACTAAGTGGGCAAAAAAAAGTGTGACAAATGTAATGACAGGGTTGTGACCAAGGCACGATGACAATGCCAGGAAGGAAATGAGTGGTTAACTCTGGGGAGTAGAGAAAAGTGTCATGGAGAAAAGTGGTGCTTGAGTTAGGCATTGAAGGATGGCTAAGAAGTCACCAGGTGGATGGGTGCCATGGTAAAATAAGATGAAGTCAAGCATCAATGCAAAGTGGTTATGGACACAGAACCTGGCACTAGACTGGAGTCCAAATTCCAGTGACACAACATATTAGCCAGCCAGTTATTTATCTATTCTCTTCTCACCTGTACAATGGAGAGAGTGGTAGTTGTGTCTATAAAGAGCTAAGTCATATAGAATGCTTAGAACTTAGCACAGTGTCTTCAGAGGAAGTTTTTACATAGTGACTTGTGCAAAAGCCAGGAGGGATGAAACAATGCTGTGTGTTCTCAGTACATAGAGGTGGCTCAGTACTGCTGGACTTTAAGGGATGCGATAATGATAAATGTGAGGCAGAACCTGGGACATGTGAGACTGGAAGACAAGGATCAGGTCATTAAGGGCTGTGTCTGGAAATTTGAATTCTAACCTGAAGTTTGCATATCAAGGGGCAAGGAAGGTTTTTAAGCAGGAGAGTGACATGATCCTCTTCGTTTTCAGAAGTGTAGAAAATGTACTAGAGAGAGACTAGAGGCAAAGAACATTGTAGGATATTGTTGCAATAACCAAAGTGAGATGGTCATGAAGATGAGGAGAAGGAATTGTCAAATTGTCAAAAACCATCTAAACTCGACCATGTTTGGATGTGGGGGGATTAAAGAGAAGAAATCATCAAGCTATGACTTCAGCTTGGTAGCCAGGTGGGTGGTGGTACCATCTCCAAGAAAAGAATACGAAGTGAGTAACATTTAGTGGGGGAGAGTTAGGGCAAGGTCATGGTTCAGTATTGATCATACTGAATCTGAGGTAAGAGGGACAATTTGATGCTGAAGGAATTAATTAAGCACATCCTCTATCAATCTCATGTTCTCCCACAGCTCCTTGTATCATAATTCTTACCACACATTGCTATCATTTTTTTTTGTTTAGTTAATTGTCTTCTTAACTGGACTGCAATCTGCTTAAGGGCAGAGATGATGCCCTGATCACTACAGAGTTTTCAACATTCAGTCATTCATTCAGTGGTTCTGTAAGGAGGATCTGCATGTGTACAGAGCTGTCTAAGCACTGGGGCGAGAGTAACTATTAGCAAGGCTGGTGAAGGCTCTGTTCTGATGGTGCACAACCTAGCTCAGCCTAGGTGAATAAACAGCATTTAAAGAGCAACTGGAGGAGATGTTCCAGCATAGTAAGAAAAAAAAAGAGAAATGATCAGGAAGCAGAAGGAGACCTCACTAATGTCACT